CGGCGACCTGCGCGGCCTCCAGCATTCAGCCAATCTCCCGAGCCGACGCCCATCCGAAGTCTCCGACAACTGGGCCAGTCTCCTGTCACTGCCGCCGAAACCGTTCTCAGGCACTCACGTTCGGCGAGTTGCTCGAAAGAAGCGCCTGATCAGCCGGAGAGGACTTGAAAGCACGTGCTTCGCGCGCGATGGATCAAGCTCAGGCAACGGTTTGGATGGGATACGCCGCCGCCGCCGGCAGCGGCAGCGGCAGCGGCAGCGGCAGCGGCAGCGGCAGCGGCAGCGGCAGCCGCAGCCGCAGCCGCAGCCGCAGCCGCAGCAGCAGCAGCAGCAGCAGCAGCAGCAGCAGCAGCAGCAGCAGCAGCAGCAGCAGCAGCACAAACACCAGCAGCACAAACACCAGCAGCAGTGGCAGCAGCGGCGGCACGGACGCCGAGGACGATGACAACTAGAGTCATTCTAGCAGTGCATAGGCCCGGCCAGGGCATGACATGGGAAATCCAATCCGGACTTGAGGGCCTGAAACCGACGTCCTCCCTAGAGGCTGGGCGCCGCTACATGAGACTGGTGCCGCAACAAGGCCAGACTCGCAGCTGGCAGCTGAACAACTTGGAAGCCATGGCACCCGACTCGGCAGAGCACGCAACCTCGACTGAGGAGACTGAGGAGGCAGCCTGGCGCTGAGTGGCAAGCGCCTTGGCAGCTGGACAAGCCGAGTCATCGTGGTGCGTCAGCGTAAGCTAAAGTTACTGAGTGCTTCTGGGAAAGATGTCGTATGCCTGACTGTAGCCACTGGCAAGCTTGCAGTAGGCGTCGTACGGGAACGCAAACAATAAGGGGGCGAACGCAAAGTCACCTAGCTACTCAATATTACTCAATGCTGTATTAATTGTATTGGTGGTTTGCAACTGGATGGCACCAACGCATGAAGGAGATGTTCTGTGAATAATCTACAAGACGTGGAAATGTCATGGCGTTGCACATGCTCTGCAAACCATTTGCAAACACAATGCTCACAGGCTTTGAAGCACAAAAAGAAGTGGGGGGGTTGGGGGGGGGGGCATTTGCAACCACAATGCTCACACGATGGGTTTGAACAACATTCATAAGAATTGACGCACGCAGTGCACGGCTTTAAAACCAAGCGGGGGGGGGTTGGGGGGGCGCAGCCCCCCCCCCCCCCCCAAAACAAAATGCTCACATGATGGGTTTGAACAAGTTTCTTAGGCTTTGAAGCACGCTTTGCACGGCTTGACAAAAAACGGGGGTTGGGGTAGGGCGCAGCCCCTCCCCCCCCCATTGCAAACACATGGCTGACACGGCGGGTTTTAGCAAGATTCATAGCCTTTGAAGCACGCTTTGCACGGCTTAAAAGGGGGGGTGGGGCAACATTCATACGCTTTGAAGCACGCCTTGCACGGCTTAAAAAAGCGGGGGGGGGGGGGGGGTTGGGGGTGCAAACAATGCTCACATGATGGGTTTCAACAAGTTTCTTGGGCTTTGCAACATAATGCTCACACCCTTCCTTCCTTCCTTGCTTGCCTGCTTGCTTTCTGGCTGGCTCGCTTGCTTGCTTGCTTGCCTGCTTCCGTGCTTGCTTGCTTGCTTGCTGGCTCGCTTGCTTGCTTCCGTGCATGCTTGCTTTCTGGCCTGCTTGCTCGCTTGCTTGCTTGCCTGCTTCCGTGCTTGCTTGCTTGCTTGCGTGCGTGCTTTATTTTTTGCCTACAGGCCACGGGGCCGGAAAAAAATAAGAAACAAAACGGAAATAAAATAAGCAAACAACACCGCCACCACAGGCTTGCCACTTGCACACTGTGCGCCCTGCGACGGCATCCTGCAGCACCGAAAGGTCGCCATCGTCGTAGACTTCCGCCTTGAGCAGATTCAGGCTCTCGTGGTGTCAGGGCGCACGGAGGTAAAGTTGAAAGACTGTGCCCGTGGTGACCCTCAGAAAGGCAAACCTGCACGACCCCGAGCATGGTATGATGTTGTTGGGAACTGAAGCAGTCAGGGTGATGGATGGCACATTGCTTCAACACGGGAAATCTCCGGGGGAGGAAAAGTACTCGAAATCGTCGCCACGACCCCAACTCAGGCCTGACTCACAGCCAACTGGAGCACCTGGTGATGGAGGGGGATACCAGTAGCTGTCACTAAACTAGCCAGTGTGGGTCATGCAATCAGCAATAATCCCCAAAAATGCAGCGCCGGAATGCTTTCAAAGGATCAGAACGCTCCAAATGCTTCACGCACGGAAGAAGCATCAAATGTGTTCAAGCCTTGACCCCTCTCCGGAAATTAAGGAGATTCTCCCTTCCAAATCCTACCAAGTCAGGTTATTCAAACCCTCCTTTGGGTATCCGCGTGAAACAACCAGTGGTTGCGGGCTTGGAAGAAGTCAGCGTCCGGTTCACGCAGCTCCTTTTGCCGCGAGGTATCATTCTTCTACTGCTGCCGCTATAGCAAAACACCTTCCCAAATCCAATCCAAACACATTTTTACATTCCACGGACCCCAGACACGTTTTACCATCTTGCAGTCCTAACGCCGGAAACCCCAGAACATACCCGAACACGAACCAGAAACTCAAGTCTCTTCTCATTGCTGCAAGCCCTAGAAGAACTTACTGTTCCTGCTGTCTTTAGACTTCAGGTCTCCATTTTTCACCAAGGCGCCTCGCCCAGAGACGCAGATAGCCGAGATGCAGGAACACCTGTTGGTGTCTATGATCCCAAGACCACATTGAACGACAAGCTGACGGCCTTTCGTGTGGTGAATGCAGATCGATGGGGATTTTGGTACTGGCGAGGCAGGGGCATCTCCAAGTTGAAGGTTTGGTTGCATCGGCCTTTTGATTTGTGATTTGGGGCTGGTTGTCGTGGACTATTCCTTACTTACATTAAAAACCCTAAACCCCCACTCTCAACCGAAAGCGGCTCCTCCGAGAACTTCGGCGCGATTGAAGGCTCCCAGCTGCAGAAGCAAAGCCCGCATTCCGTTCTTGCGGCTTAAGATGAAGGCTTTACAGACCCAAATTCCAAAAACCGTTGAGGGGTTGGGGCACTCGATGCCTCAAGGATTTTAGTCTTTTAAAGCCCTGCGCCCACCCCGTTTATCGTCTGGGCGCCTTGGCCATCCACTCCGCGCGGTCGGCCGTCCATAGCTCTGATACGTATGAGTTCATGCAACGGCGGCAGATTTAGCTTACGCAGGGACTTCCGTCTTCACCTCCATCGTCAGAGTTTGAAACCTTCGACCGATCTGACACTCTTCACATCTCCTGAGACCACGAAAAAGCATACGGAAATCAGAGTTTCGCAGTCTTCCTGGTGCCGGCATCCATGGTGCTCCTACACTGCAGGAATACAGTCACGAAAGAAACCATTCTTCGAGCCACCGACTGCAGGCGGAACGTGAACTTGGGTCGTAGGAGTAGAGCAAGCCCTGTAACTATTTGTCTAATCCAGTTTCGTAAGTCAGCGTCCTAGAGGTTTAGGCACATACCTGTGCGCCTCCCGCAAGGCACGCAAGCAGCTGGGATTCATGATGCACACCAATCAACTACGAGTATCCCTCGGCTGGAAGCTCTGCGCTTGGACCGAACACAAAGGGCACAGGCGCTGAGCAGAACAGTTGCAAGTGCTGGCACGGTTAACGCTTCACTGCGGCATACTGCGGCGAGCAAAGGGTCGTGCCAAGTCATGCCCCCGGCACGTGGCCATGCGCCGTCCGGACGGCGCCTAAAACCGTTCCGCAAACTGTTTGAAGACTGCACGGCGTTAAGCATCCGCGGACTGCATCTGCTAAACGGTATCGGCAGAACTCGATCGGTGATAGTTTAGAATTAGACTTGCGAAGCCAAAATCCCGTAAAACCTCTGCAGCACGCACTCCTGCACTGTGTCACTATGTAGAATCGATCACTGTGGAATGCCAGGCGCATCCCAGTTGCCCTGCTTCCGTGTCTTGTTTGCGTTCCGCTTGAGAACTCGGGTCGTCGATGCAAATGCCGTCTGCTCTGACGGCAACACTTTCGAGAATCCCTGTTCGGCCTCCTGCCCCGGTGGGGGCGGCTGTTGCGTGGTTAAAAGAATCCTATAAAGCATCTGCATCAACAGGGAAAGCATGGCTTCATGTCCGCCTGAGGTACTGACTGGATGATTGACGTACTGAACTGCACTTCTGCACCTTGTGCTACAATGCCATGGAGCTGCAAATCGAGTCGAGCCGACTGGAACTTCGATGGAGGCTGATGGAAGGCACTGGATCACTGTACCATGGTTCTTGCACCCTGAGGCAGGCACACACGACCAAAGCTGGACCAAGAGGCTGGGTTGTTTTCCTGGCAGCCTCACGCCGACTACCGGCTACATCACAGAGCTTTGTCTTGACACGGCACCGTTGACCGCGGATGATTGACAGCTTGCTGACATACGAAGATCCAGTCACCGGTGACACCAAAAAATGAAACATATGGGTCTTCAGGCCTGTCTGAGGCAAGTCACCACATTAGCCATACAAACACGGCAGATTCATTGCGTGCTCTGCTGCACCAGCCGTAACCCCACGCAGGAAAACAAAACGTTGACACGCCCCGACAGGGCCCTTACCAGTGGCCAAGCGCTACGATTGGCCAGGCGACGCTGTGCCAGAAAGTCTTTCATTGCTCAAACGGAGCCACTCGCGAGCTCTTTCCAGGAGCTTTGCCCAGGTCAGAACTCGCCGGTCTGATCCATATCCCATCTTGGGACGAACCAGCTACGACTTTCTGTTCTCTTTTAGACTCGAGACTGCGATTTTGCAGGAGGTCTTCTGTTGTGTATGAAACGGGTCGACGAGGCTTGAGCAGCTCGGTTCAGCCGCCAAAGTCTCTGAACGGATCTGAGTCGTGCCACAGGCGCACAGCAAGGAAACCAATAGCCACAGGTATGCCTAGAAAATGCTCGATAGAGCACCCACCGATTAGCGGGATTCAGTGCATAGAGCTGTAGTACAGCACAGTCATTCAACGCACGCGGCCGTATGCCCAGGCAGTCCCGCACGCCATGCCTGGGACGAGCATTGGCTGGCGCCGTGCAATCGTTACTCATCCAAAAAATGAAGAACGACTGTAGCAGTAGCAACACTCTAACAGTCCAACAGTTGAGCCCTGAAGGCCTTCTTGGACGCGGTCTCCACGTACCAGTCCACCAGTTCGGCCCTGTTGAGGAAGGCCTCTGCACATGACTTCAAGAAGAGCACAGTATGAGTTCAGCACGCCCCAAGCCCCCCGAAGGCCCCAAGCCCGTGTCCCTTGCACGGGCCATTGGTCGAGGTAAGCGTGCTAAGCTCCCTGCCCGAGGACTGGTGGGCTGCCGGGGTGTCAGGTGGCACGCCAAGATGCCATCCACCTTGAAGCACACGAAGACACTCCTTTTTGCAGTGAAACTCAAAACTCCCCTTGGAGGAGCTTTCAGGTCATTGCACACCGCTAATGTCGCAGGCCAGACTAAGCTGCAAGCTTCAGGCGCGTCACTCAACAGAGTGGGCCTCGAATGGCGTGCTTGCCAGCTTTGTGCAGAGTTCAGAGGTCATTGTTTCTTCCCTCGCGATTTATGGAGGCCAAGATACGCCGCGTCCACGCAAAAAGGTGCGGCTGACGCTGGGCACAACCTGAGTTGACTCCAACACAGACGGCCGCCGCACACTTGGTGCCACTTCTTAGCAAGCCTACTCTGCTTGCAGCTTGTTGGCTTCTCTTTCAACCTCGTCTCGGCCAACTGAAGCTTGCTCTGAAGGGCGGCGTTGAGGTCTACCGCCTCTTTGAGGTGCTGCTTCGTGTCTTGGCACCTCGGTTCCCGGAAGGTTGTAACAAAGCGGCCCCTAGCCCGAACCTGTTTGGAGGGGCCGTGAAGGGAGGGAGGACTTCGAAGGGATCACGAGTATTTGAAGTGGGTGACCTCAGCTAGCTGCAGTTGAGACGCTCCTCCCGCAGCCTCTTGTTTGAAATCTGCAACGTGCGACATTGCCACTTTCTCAAAGACATGTCGACCTGTAGCTTGCAGTTGCTGTCGTGGCACCTTGGTCTCAGTCGCTTGCAGGATCCGAGCAACGGCACCGGATGCGACTGCCATGCGAAGCACGGCCGAGCGGCTCCCTGCGTAGGAGGTCGTTCTCCGACAGCAGCTGGTCGACCTTGCAGTCGCTGAGCTGACACCTTGGCTAAAGGCAATGCGGATGACAAAACTCCGCCCTGGGCATGTCTGAGCAGAGTGGCTCCCTGCGCAGGAGGTCATTCGCAGATCGCAGCTCTGCCACCTCCGTCTCCAACTCTCCCAGCTTGGCAGCGCGCCTCGCACATGAGCGGATCCCCGCAAGCGCGCAAAGCACTGCGAGAAACACTGCATGTGGCCCGGACCTGCCGAGCTCTGTCTGCAGCTGAACGATGTGGTCGTCGGGCAGGCAGGTGCTGGATTCGCTGTTGGCGGCAGCGATGTTGTCGTTGCTGTCTTTGCTGTCGTTGCTGGAGGCACTGCCGCTGCTAGGGCGACTTTTGTGCCTTGGGTCACGACCGGCATCAATCTTAGACAGGAAGGACCGGACATTCAAGCAATATGACTGCGATGTGCCGGGGCACTCCCCTCCTTTCCGATCTTGCGCCTCTTCTGCAAGGCAGAAGCTCACCGGCCTCATGATAGGCTGCGCAGATCTGCGCAGGGCTACGCAGGGTTTACGGTTCCATGTTTTTGATGGTGAGGGGCTTCATGGGTTTGGCCTTCATTCAAGGTTTCAGTGTGCAGGGGGTTTATGGGGGTATGGGCCCACACCCGCAAAGAGGCGACATGGTCATCAATTCTCTCTGAATTCAGGTTCCTTTGTGCCCGCAATACGACGGGGCTGCATTACAGCAGAGCGCCCGCAAGCGATCATGATGTAGAGACCTGACCATTTAGGGCTTCGGCTTTAGGGTTGCCTTCCTTGCTTGGTATTTACAGTAGGGATTTTGGGTTTAGGAATTCGTCCTTCCAAAAGGAGGCTGCATTGCATCTCATTATATGAGGTACCTACTGTACCCCCGGCAGAAGCAGACCCTGATTTGGAACCACCTCCCACGTCGACACGGAACCCCGAACCCTAAACCCTAAACCCTTAACCCTAGGTCCTTAGCCCTTAGCCTTGAGCCCTAAGCCCTAAGCCCTGAGCCCTAAGCCCTAAGCTCTAAACCCTCCCCCTCCCCTACCCCCCTCATCCAGCCTCGCCATGAGGAGGTGGAAGCCAGCGTCAGTTTGAACCTCAGGCGCCGCGATTCATCAAGATGCGCCCTAAATCTTAACAACCCTGAAGCCCTACGCCCAGGTTTAGGGTTTAGGATTTAGGATTTAGGACCCCCGCACAGCTTTTAATCCCCCCAAGGAAAGGGTTTCGGGTGCAGGGTGCCTACAATTCCGGCCCCGGAGGCCCTAAAACAACCGACTCCTGCCTGCTCCACTCTCTGAACTCTCAGCAGCTCTGCTATGGGTTGGGGGTCCCTTCAAGGGGGTTCGATTCTTTTGGGGGTATAACAGGGGGTACCCCTCTTTGTGGGAAATGCCCATAGACCAGCCCTCAAAAAATCTTTAGGGTTTGGGGTTTCGGGTTTAGGGACGCTATAAACTCAAAACCCCTAAACCCGTGTAAGCCCTAGACGCATCCGTTACACCCTGACAAGGCCCTCTGAACCTGCAAGCCCTATAAACCCTAAGCCCTTCTACCGACCCCAATCTTTTAAACCCTAAGCCCTTAACCCTTAACCCTAAACCCGAAACCCAAACGACCCTAAATCCTAAAGTAACAACCTGGGCCCAGGCCGGCCACAAGGGACATCCGAGCTCCAGCTCGGAGTCGAAGAGCGCCCCCTGCGCGGGTTGATATCTAGGGTTTAGGGTTTAAGGTTTTGGGGTTTTCGTGTCTTAGGGTTTCGGGGTTTCGGGGTTTTAGGGTTTTAGGGTTTTAGAGTTTTGGGGCTCTTGGGGCTTTAGAGTTTAGGGTTTACAGCTTGGGGTTTTGCGTTTAGTGCTCAGGGCAACCCAACTGAGGCTACCACATATGACCCATGTACAACGTCCCTGGAGCCCCTTCAGCATGCTTGCGAATTGGCTACGGCTAGGGCTTAGGTCTGTGAGGGTGTTTAAGTGGTCATTCAGGTTAGGCTCAAGATGTAGGTGAGAGCTTTGCAGGGCTTTGCTAATTAGTTGCTAGGCCAGGCTGCTTTGGAATTGGCTTAGGGTTTTGGGGGTATCTGCAGGGGTTCACGTTCCAAAACGTAGGCTTCCTGTCCTCGATCGCGCTGTGCATCTGGCCACTCTCGACCTGCGCAGGCAGGGACTCGGGTTTTTGGAGGTAACCTACATTAAAGGGGCCCGACTTTTTTGGGGGGTAACTGAAAACTTTGAAGAATCTGCTCTCAAGGACATAACCCCCAAAGACCCGTACTTTGGGTCGACCCTCACTGCGATGGCGCAGTACCCCTCGACTCCCTCACACCCACGAAGCTAAGGTCTTTTGGGTCCCTCTTGGAGTTTGTCCCTCTTAGGGTTTAGGGTTTGGCGTTTGTCCCCATACACTCAAGGCTCCCACGCAGGGCACAGTGCCGAAAAGGGAAGGGCTGACTGAGAAAATTGAGAGCAGGATCAACTTGGGCCTCGCCCAAGTCTCCGCCGTCCGCTCGCGTCCCCGGACATGCGGAGTAGATGCGAGTGACGTTGGCACAGTCCTGTGGGTGGGCGTTGACGTCCACGCCCACAGGGAACCCAATGCAGGTTGCTTCGGGAATCAATTGTACAAGCGTCCTTGCTGCAATGCTTTGAACAAAGGCATATTCCCGAATTGCAAGGCACATATGGTGTTTGCTATAGGTGGGGGGAGAAAAAACAAGTAAAGCGGGTCAAAGGTTGCGGCTGATTTGGGGCGCAGGACCTGTGCACTTCACCAGCTATTCAGTCACGGGCCATCGCTTGCAGGCCATGGATACTTCCGCTCGGACTCTGAGCCATGGATTAATTAAGCATTGATTTTTGGGGGAGGGGGTGATCGAAACCAGGATTCTATTTGGGGCGATTGTTGCGGTAATGTTCACCAAACCCTGAACCCTAAACCCTCAACCCTAACCCTAGCACCTCCCAAGTCAAGCTCCTCGGGACACTGCACCGGTGGCACCAACGCCCGGCAGAATTGCTCCGCATCAAGCGGGCCCTGGCAGCAAACACAGTCCCCGTCTTGCTCCCAAGCAGCTGCACAGCAGAAGTAGTCAGAAAAGAGACGATCTTTCTGTTTAGCCAGACCAACTCCCTAACCCAGCCTCCTTCAGCACGGCGTCCTCCTCGGCATCCTTACCGGATTGAGATGTATTTGACATGGTTGAACCGAATGGCACACTGTCCCGTAAGCGGCTTCCAGCTGGCGCCTCCAAGCTGTTTGCATCCTCCGCTTGAAGCTGCCAAGGCACCTCCAGCAGATATGGTGTCGACAGGCCGATTTCGAAAATTCTGGCTGATCGTTTCCTGCGCCTACGAACACCCAAACTGCACGAACTGCATGAACGGAAAGCGACAAACACCCGCGAAGCTGCACATAGCTGCACCAGTGACTCGCCAGGCCCACAAGCTCCCCGCCTGCACCGGGCGCTCAATGATTGGCGCGTACCTGAAGCCCAGGCAACTCGACCGTCATCTTTGAAAACGACTGTTTGTGTACCGAAAAACATCTCTTCGCACGTTCGGTTCCACAGGAACACAGCCAAGGGATGTTAAACATGACTTCAAAGCTTGAAGGCGTGAAGGCGACCTTGCCAACGTCATCATTCGTCATCCAACTCCAGAGCTCAGACCCCAACACCCATCGGTCCATCTCCGGACAAGCAAAGAGTGGAGCACCACGTGCCCACGGAGGGCCGGAGCTGCCACTGAGCCGACGCTGGGGCCGCTTGAGGTGCCTCTAAAACGGAGGTTCAGCCCCCACACATGCACCCTTCTATTTTGAATATCTGATTTCTTTCTTTCGCAGGTCTCTTCTTCTTGGTCGGCACTCGGTGCCTGAGCTTGCAACTACAAATTCCCTCTCCTGCGTTCAGCTACTCAGTTGCTATGCCTGTCCATGTGGGTCGAGGACACCCTATACCCTCAAACCTCAACTGTTGTGCCTCAACCTCTCCCCCCGTTTGCCACAACAGGAAACCCTTCTCAAATCACCTATTCAACCTCCCATCCGCTTTCTCTCTTTCTTTCTGAGGTCTTACAAGACGAGCCCTTGAGTAAGCGCGTGCGCGCGCGTCCCAGTGTTGAGAGGCCGAAGACTGCTCATGCAAACTGTTGGTGAACAGCCTTTCGGGCGGATGTCTTTTTTCTGTTTAGCCGTGGGTGTGCAACTTTTCGTAGTACTTTTTGCGTGCCGGGGCTGTCTTTCTCGGCCAGGGCTAAGCAAAAATCAAACACCGCCCGCCTTGGGAGCGTTTTCTTTTGCTCAGCCGCGGCTGTTGGGCTCCTTTGCAGCCAGGGCTAAGCAAAAAAAAAACACCGCCGGCCTTGGCAGGAGCGTTTGTTTTGCTTAGCCGTGGCTGCGGGGCTCCCTTGCAGCCAGGGTTAAGCAAAAAACAAAGACCGCGGGTCTTGGCAGAGCGTTTGTTTTTTGCTTCGCAGTGGCTGTGGGGCTCCCTTGCAACCAGGGCTAAGCAAAAAAACAGCGCCGGCCTTGGCAGGAGCGTTCATTTTTTGCTTAGCCGTGGCTGTGGGAGTCTGTGACTCAGGCGCTCTCTGGGACGAACGTCCATGCCTTATGCGAGCACGCCGCAAAAATGCTGAAAAACCCGGCAAGGGCGGGGGTTGTGGGGCCGCAGACCCCCATTTGCGAACACAATGCTCTCATGATGGGTTTCTAAAAGACCTGTATGCTTTGTGAGGCAAGTTTGCACAGCTAAAACAGGTGTGGAGGTTGGGGGGGGTGGGGCAGTTTGAAAAAAGCATGCTCGCATGATGATGGGTTTCACAAAGACTCATATGCTTAGCGGCCTAGTGAGGCAAGCTTGCGCGGCTCTTGCCCGGCTTACACCAAAAAGCTGCGCGCGCGGCATTGGGGGGGGGGGGGGGGGTACAGACCCCCCCCCATGAAAACTTCTAGTTGCGCTGTACTTTCATAAGTGGAGAGGCTGGGGGGGGACCCCATTTGCAGATACAATGCTCGTATGCCTTGTGAAAAAAGCTTGCACGGCTTCAAAAAGCAGGGGGGTTGAGGGAGGCCGTGGCTTGAAAAAGCGGGGTGGGGGGGGTCGCAACCCCGCCCCATTTGCAAACGTAATGCTCTCATGATGGGGTTCAAAATTCTTCATATGCTTTGTGCAAAAAAAACTACGGAATGAAACCTAAGCCAACCGCTGCTTATGCTTTGTGAAGCAGGCTTTGCACGACTCAAAAAAGGTTGCTTTAGCGTGGAAAAATTTTGGGGAGGCTTTTCTTGGGAGGGGCGCAGTGCCCCCGTTTGCAAACTCAATGCTCGCATGTTGGGTTTCAACAAGACTCATATGCTTTGAAGCAAGCTTGCATGGCTTATCAAAGACGGGGGGTTGGGGGGAGGGGGTTGGGGGGGCAGCGCCCCCAATAACAAGCTTGCACGGCCTTAAAAACCGGGGCGGAAAAACGGGGGTTGTGGGCGAGGGGGGGGGGGGGGGGGGGGGGGGGCCACATGATGGGCTTCAAAAAGATTCATACGCAGCAAGCTTGCGTGGCTTAAAAACAACGGGGGGGGGGGGGGGGAGCACATGAGCCTTTCGCGGATCCTTGATTTTTCTATTCTTGCACTTCGCCTACCAGTAGTGCAAGGGGAATTGGAACGTTCGCCTGCTTCATGCCTACACTTGATCAACGCATCAAGGATACCATGTGCGCCGGCCTGAACGACATCAACGTCGCTGTCGGACTCCTTCAAGGAGGTGGATTTGAGGCTCTCAGCCTAAAGCCCTAGATTCTGCCCTAGATCTACAAACTCCCTGAAGAGCGGGCTGCAGGTAGCCAGTTTGAGACAGAGGGGCGTCTGCTGGGCTGGCGTGTTGGGTTTCATTGCTGCAGTGTCCCGCAACAAGTGGCCGCTTCGGCAACATTGTGGGGTTCCAACTTCCGACGTTCAGAGTTGGAAGGGTTAAATGCCCTCGTGGTGTCTTGAGGTGGTCGTACACTGTTTGGGGTTTACGTTTCACATGTGCCCATGTGCTGAGTGAGCTCCCAAACCTGGAAAACACGAAGCAGCGGATTGGAAAGTCGTCTGCACTACTGATAAGGCTTCAGGCTCAGATATTGGTATGCTCACTGCGAGGCTGCCTCGGCGGCTGCTGCGGCCTCGCCAAGCACGGACATCAGGGATTAAGGCCCAGGACTGGCTTTTTGCTGCACGTAAGGATGGCTTTCACGGGTCAGTGCCTGGTCAAGAGAATTATAAAGAGCGTAGCGGCGACATCAGAGTTTAGGAAGAGGGTCTGACACAACCTACTGCACCCTTGCCCAAATCTCTTTCAATCTCCTCAACCTGATGAGCCCTGACAGCCAACGCCCGCTCCTTGCGACGCATGACTTGCCGCTCCGCCCTCCTCGCCTGGACGACAGGCTTGGAGCGAAGGCCAAGCGCAACAATTTTCAAGCGCGGTGGGTTGAGTTGATGCCATTCCACTCGTTATTGACGGGTTGCAAAAACCCAGGGCTTTTGCTGCAAGAAAGGTTTCATCTTCATGTTAGTGGCAAGCGTCGGGGCGGTCGACCCAAAATATGTTCCACCCAAAAACGCTGCCCGAAAGTGGAGACAGACCGAAGCTAACCCCCCAATCCAATCCCAAAATCTCATCACGGCTTTTGTCCCAGGCACCTCCCGCTTGAGGTTGGCGACCTGGGAATTCGGAATCAGGTTCGTGACAAAAAGCAGCCGACATTCTGTGAGAACTGTGAGAAGCCTACACTTGGCCCGTCTTGGCCCTGGACTAACGCCCTAACGTCAGGCGGGTCCAGCTCCCACAGCTTCTGCTTCCACGCAGCCCTTAGTTCCACGCCCATAACCAAGCAAGGGCATGGGGCGTTTCGGGCCCTTTGTTCTGACGCAAATAAAGATGTTTCATGATGTTTCCGTGCTCCGCGCGGACCGGTCAACTGGTGTATGCAAAGTGGCACATCATGAAGCAGCTCAAAGTCACGTGCAGACTCCATTGTGGCCATGTGGAAGTTGAGAGTGAAACAGGAATCAAGTGCAATCAACGAAGTCGCGAGGACAGCGAAAGCGAAACTCACCATCAGCCGCCGTGTAGAAAATCATCTAAGAGAAAATGGCATGAAAGTAATACTGTTGCTCTTCTTTGTTCCTTCAGTCCTTCCGTCTGGCTACAGCTGTTACAAAAACGTGGCTGCCCTCCTTTCCCGCTGTCCTTTCTTTCATTCCTTCATTCCTTCAGTCCTTCTTTCCTCCTTTCCTTCTTTCCTGCTTTCCTTCTTTCCTTCTTTCCTCCTTCCTTCTTTCCTTCCTTTTTGCTTCCTGTCAGAAAGCGGTTACTATAATTTTGGATGTTCTCGCTCAGGGTGTGAGGCTCAATTCCCAGAACAGCCCTTTTTCCAGCAGTAGAAAGAAAGAATGTAGCCCTCCGCTGTCAGCCCCATGACGCACGAAAGGGTTGAAAGCACGCACGCTTTAGACCCTTTCGGAATTCTACAAATCAGAATCTGGGTGGCTGGCCAGAAGGCCCGCCTGGCCTCGCGACAGAAGCAGAAAGACTGAAAGAAGTGAGCGGCGACTTAAGGGCTATAGCAGCTCGACAGGGTATCTACATGACCTACAGACCTCTGTTGCCCGAAGTTCGGCTAATAATATGGACTCGAAAAATTGGACGGTCCGCCTGCGGCTCATGCGCTGGCGGCACAAGCATGCCGGGCCGTATCCCCAACGGCTACTATACGACCTTTCTCAGACGAACTTACGCACTTGCCAGGCTTGCTAGGGTTGCGCACTGACAGGAAGCTCACGTGCACAAAACCGGGCTATTGAGCACAGCGGCTGCCTTGCACTGGGAACTCTGTTGAACAACTGCTCGAGGTGCGGCCCATGCATGTCATACATGTCCATACTGTAGGCGCGCGCCTAAGGCAATGCAAAGTCGGAACCCTCTTCCAGACTCGGCTTTCGCTTGCTGTTCGCGGAGCTCGGCTTCTCTTCTGGCAGCCTCACGCCGATTGCCGGCTACTTCACAAAGTGAGCCCTTTATCATAAGCTTCGTTGTGCGCTGCGCGCACGTCCGAGATCTGCCCGAAATGGCCATTTTGGCATAGGACTCGGGTGGACATCTGCACCAGGCCGCCATCTTCCGCAGCTCAAACGAAACCATCTTCACTTTCCCAGGGGCCTTTGCCCAGGTGCAGATCGCCATGCATATGGGCTACAATACAAGTAGCATCTTGGGTTTCCGGCCACCTCTCCGTTTGGTCTCCAGTGCAATTTTGCCTGTTGCACAAGCAAGACATGGTGGGATTAGGTGCATCATGGTGTATGCCAGGACTGTGGTCGAACCAGCAGTTTACACGAATCCCTGAGGCAACACCTGCGCTATGACCAGGACATACCTTGTGGCATGATCACGTCCATAATCCCTTTCCCCTTGTATGAAACGCCCCCGTGAGTATAAAATCTCTTCCGGGAACATCCTGCCGAAACCGACCCCCGTCTTGTAAACCCTATTCCGAATTAGGGGACAAGAAAACCCCAGAAAAAAGGGTGAATAAGAAACCAATATTAGAACTGGGGCTTATGGTTGACCGTGTAAAGGAGCTAGAGATAGAGCTTCAGTTGTACCATCACCAATATGAAGAGCTCAGGGTCCAGCGTTTGGG